AACTGCAAGAGTAGTCCTGAATTACAATTTCACCAGTTGACAGGCCGTGTGGTGGCCCTACAGCTTTTCCCCCAGTGGTTGAACACACAGGGATTCTGTTGCATTTAAGCCATAGTCTTCAGATAAGCTCAGTTACTGACCTGCAGGAACTTGCTCATAATAAAACAAACGTTGTTTTTTTTTTTGTTGTTGTTTTTTTTTTTTTTCAAATACCCTGTGATAACAAACACACCAAGAGACACGTGACAAATACAATATACGTGATGACATCTTAAGTTTATCTCCACCTCTTTCTTGCCTACTCATCAGTATATAACCAACACACACAAATAAACGACGCAGCCAGAAACTGATCAAATTGACTTCTCAAAATCTGGTCATTTTCCATTCTTGTCAAAATCACCCGTCCTGTCTGAGTCAAGACTACATATGAGCATATGTCGTAGCCGTCCGATGGTGAAACCCAATTCCCTCTATACCAACCAGCGGCCTCTATTTCAACCATTACACCTGATGTGATCTACTATAGTAGTCAATGTGATCACAATGTACAAATTTGAGATCAGGTTCTTTTAGAGAAGACCCCGGAACCCCCAGTTGAGTTTGAAAACCTCAAGAAGTTTAATTGAGATCATTGACAGAAAAGCGCTGCGTAGCAACAGTGAAATCTGCGTATGGATCCATTATCCAGATAGTTGATGTGTAAATATGCACGCATGTCTTTATGCTTACTAATAACTCAAAACGGGGGAGCAAGATAAAATGTGCTGATCTCCGGGGATGGCTTAATCCGATACTGCGTATCGGTATTGGTCAGATATTGGTCAAAATTTTCAGGATCGAGCATCAGAAAAAAACAACTAACCCATCCAATCCGATACCTAAGCCCATATGATCAATGATCAACTTTGCGCGACATGCCGTAAATTGGGACACTATCACCTCGGAAAACCACCCGGGAAAGAAAAGAAGGTATCGGATTTATATCGGTCTCGGCCCGAATCTGTATCGGACTTGAACAAGTTGTATCGCGCCATCCCTAGTGAACTAGTGTCACCTCTGGACATCCTGCCTTCTCCAGCCAGTCATAACACTGGCCGTGACTATTTCAGACTTGACAAACATGGAACTCGGATTTACGTAGATTCTAGGTCCCTGCGGTGGAAATGCGCCTTTCAAGATTTCACACTTTTTCGCGAAAAAAGAAATCTTTAAGCATTCCTGGGTTCTCACCTTCACAACCACAATTTCTCTAATGGCTTAGTCCGTCTCATTCATTCATGTTCTTGACCCCATTCATTTATTTTTTCGCAAGACACCAGGTATCTATAAGATTGTCATCTAAATAGAAAGAAGAAAAAAACAAACATTCTTTATGTTGAGCGAAACACCACGACAGCATGACAACTAATTAGCAGCAACGTTTCTCTATCGTTCTCCTCCGAATGCTATGCCGCATACATTGTGTAACAAACTGACACGTATTCACGGAAATAAGCGTATAGACATGGTATAAATATACTGTATTATCTATGGTATATCTTAGAAATCTACATACTGGCAGGTCTGAGGCCTGCGGCTCACATTAAGGCAAAAAAAGCATCAAACATAATGATGATTAGGGACCACCAAAAACGTCTTTTGGCCACATGTCACAAACCCTTTCCTGACATTCTGCCTCCCTCCATTGAAAATCTCTGCGGTCTTGCTTTTTTTTCCCCCCTCAGCTCGCTTCACCTGCTTAAAATTCTCTGTCACTTTGGTGAGAGTTGCTAAATAGTAGGAGAACACACAGAACGAACACACACACACACACAGAGTGCAAGTAGATGCATGAGAAAATGGCTAGTAATTAAATTGTCCTATTGAAATTATATTCCTATATCCAGTGTATTTATAACAACGGGTAAATAGAAAACAGACGGAAAAATAATGCTTGAAAGCATCTCATGGCTTGTTTTCATAAAGTTCAGAAGGAAAAAAAAAAAAAACAAAAAACAAAAACCAAACGTCATTCATGGCGATTTGTGGCGGTGTTGGTGATTGCTCTGCAGCTAGAGTTCTTATTATATCACCAGAAAGAGCAACAAAAGGAAGACTTAACGGCATAAAAAAAACAAACAAAAAAAAAACGTCGCTAAAGATAAGGACACGTGAAAAAAAAAAAAAACAAAACACCACAACACCATCGGACAATAAAGAGAGAGCATGAACGAGAGACAAAAGACAACAACAACATCAGACACTCCTGTCCAAACAATGCATTGCTTGACAACAGCCTCTTTCCAGAAGCTGGTGTTTTTAAAGGCACAGAGCCATCTTTACACCGTTCACACTCTCCTCATAAAGGGAAAAAAAAGGGGGCGTTGGATTTAGCGACCCCCCCATCATGGCGGCATTTTAGCCTCATCCAAACTCTGTGAATTTTTTTTTTTGTTTTTTCTTCTTCATTTTCTTTCCGACAGAAATGGAAAAAATGTCAACTAGAACAGTAGCTTGTTTCTGAAGGAGAACAGTTCCTGGTAGGATCGTAATGGACATGGATGACGCTAATGCTAGTTAATACTCCTTTAAAAATGGCTTTTTCCAAAAAAGATTCATTACTGATCTATGTCCAAGTGAGTAAATTGCACACATACAAACACTCAAGTCAAGTGTATGGACGTCACCTGACCTGTCCTGAAAGACACATTATTTTTGTGCGATCAATAACTCTTGCTTCTGCTCTTTTTTTTTTTCTTTTTCGTCTTTTTCACTGCATTTGTGTGTGTGCACGTCACTCCCAAAGTGCTACACCGTTTACCATCGGTAGCGCTTCGCTAAACCCCCCCTTTCTTCTCCTGGAGTCCGTCGCGAAACAAGTCGATTGCGAACTTCCCCTCATTCCAAATCTACAGTTGCTGTGTAATGAACTTCTCTCCAATGCATTTCGAGCATTGTTCCCTTTTTTCGAAAATATATTTAAAGGTCTACATTGTCATTTGCAGTCTTATCTGTTGTCGGTTTGGCCATTGAAGAATGAACAAATAAATGTGTGCAAGTGAGGATACAAGATACAAGAGCGAAACTCATGTATTATCAGCTTGAGAAGAAAAATCCTCCTCCTCTTCCTCTACAGGACTTGTGTCAGAAAGTCTTTCCTTCTCAGACCTCACCTCAAGCTGGGCTCTGAGCTCCTCGTCCTCTTCCTCGTCCTCCTCGACGTCGCCTCCTTCCTCCTCCTCATCCTCCTCCTCCTCCTCCTCCTCTGGCTCCTCTTTCACCTCGTCCATTGTGATCTCGTCCTCCTCTTCTATCACGTCCTCGTTTTCCTCCTCGGCCATGCTGCTTCCCTGCTCTTCCTTGTTCTCCTCCTCCTCTGCCGCGTGGTTTGCGTCGCCCGCGTCGCCCCCGTCGTCCCCGTCGTTTGGATGACTCTCTTCCAGGGTGAGCTCGAATTGAAACCTGTCCGTGCAGGCTTTTAGTTCCTTGTCCTGGCTCACGGGAGGCGGCGACGGACTCTGCGGGATCGTGCTCTGATACCAGTCCCTGTTGTCCTCCAGAGTGTCCAAGATCTCCTGAGCATCGGGGTGCACAAGGTCACCCCATGTCTCCCACAGGGGGTGAACGATGTAGTCGATGAAGCCCACCTGAAGCGAGAAAAGGAGAGCGCGTGTAAAGGAAAAAAAAAAAAATTGGCCTCAAATGGACGTATGCTGGGGTCAAAGGTGACAGATGACTTCCTCTGACATCTCTATTTCAATCCTTACCTACAGCCGTCACAGTTCAGTTGCAGAGGTGGAAAGTAACTATTCACATTTACTCACATTACTGTTACTGAGTAGTTTTGAGTAATTTGTATTTTTTTTTAAAGTAGTTTCAGGAATGGGTCA